CCAGGGATTGAATGTAGGCCTTAACCACTGAGCCATCTTGCCAGCCCCCATGCTGCTTCCTGGAGTCATTCACACACAGTAGAACCTGTTATCAAGTGACCATGAACGTGAACGTCTGTCTTCAAAGCATGGCATTGATGCCATGGTTGAAACCTCGCTTACATAATGTACAGCTTCCTCATTCGAGGCCCCCTCTGAGTTCACATATTCAGGAGGTGCACAGCCTTCCCCAAGGTCACTGCTACCCCTTCACCCTTCCCTAGCCTCAGGCCACCACGAAGCCACTGTCTGCCTCTGTGGGCTTCCTGTTCTGAGCATTCTTGTAAACAGAATCGTTTACAGCATGTTTCCACTGTTTATATACCCAGTAATGCTTTGTTCATTTTTTATGGCTGACTAATATTCCATTGTGCAGGTACACTGCATTTGGTCTGTCCTCTCACTGGCTGAACATCTGAGTTGTGTCTGCTTTTTGACAATTATGAATAATGCTGCAGTAAAGACATGTGCATAACTCTGGGTGTGCGTTTCCATTTCTCTCAGGGGAAATGCCAAGATTGGAATGACAAGTTCTTACAGGAAACTCTGCTTCCCAAGGCAGCCACACCATTCTGCAGGCCCATGGGAACATTCTGAGGGGCCAGCCTGAGTAGGATCTCAGGGGAAGGACTGGGCAGCTACGAGGGAAGCTGACAGTGACGTCACAAACTAGGTACCTCTCTTGAAGGGTTTGGTTGTGAAGAGGTGGGGTTAGGTATGGAGCTGGAGGGAAGAGAGCAAGTTCAGTAGCTGTGGGACTGAGTCTACTGGGGACAGACAAGGGACAGGGGGCAAGTCTTCCCTCAGGGGAGTCGATGGTTTTGATTGGGGGTGGGGTGGGAGGGTCTCTTGTGTAGCTATGTCCTGGAATGGGAAACTCTGCCCTGTGTGTGTTGGTGGCAGGCTCAGAAAGCTCGAGACGCTTAGGAATTCATGAGAGCCCTCACTGAGATTATCTAAGCCGTAGGCAGTTGCTGGGGAGAGGAGGTAGGGATGTCTGCACACCATGTGGGGAGCTCCAGGGGAGTCCTCAGTCATGCTGGAGGAGGCTGTAAAAGACAACAACAACAACAACAACAACGTGTTCTTCATTTATATATTTGTGTGTGTGCATTCCGCAGTGCACGTGTGGAAGTCAGAAGACAACTTTGGGGAGTGGCTTCTCTCCTTCTACAATGTGGGTCCCAGGGCTTGAACTCAAATGATCAGTCTTGGTGGCAGGCAAGCACCCTTGCCCACTGAGCCATCTCTCCAGCCTGCAGTGAGCCCTTTGGTGACAGCCTTGTGTCCCCACCCCCACCCCCGTAATTAACCCCAGTTCTCTAATCAAGACTGGGCAGAACGGTTTCTTTGGTCTGTAGTCACCGCCCTACCTGGGATGAGTGGACATTATTCACGTCTCCCCGGAAAAGCCACTGCCCAGGGAGGAAGGGCTGATGGTAGGCGAGGGCAGGTTGGGGGTTGGGAAGATAGGGAGCCGCTCTCTTGGGGTTGAAGGCTTTGATGAGATTTGTCACAGCAATGTCACTGGCTTGCAAGGTGTGGTGACACTGTGTGTGTGTGTGAATCTCTAGATCAGCAGAGGGACTTCTGGGGGTTTTGTTGGTAGAGAAAAGGCAGGACAGTGGGACCAGGGAGGCAGGCTTGGGGCCTGGAGATTGATGGGGTCAGGCCCCAAACCCTGGGAGGTGGAGGGAGAAGCAGAGGGCAGCTCAGAAGAGGCCCCCAGACTGGGAGGACAGAGGAGCCCGTGTGGAGTTAGATACAAGCAGGACGCTTTGCCCCCTTTCCCCATCTTACTTGCCTCTGCCTTTGAGTCTAGAACCGGGCACCCTTTGATCCCGTGGACTGAAAGTGCTGGGGCAGCAGAGCTGGGACAGAAGTGGCTGGCTTCACAGGCAGCCTGGCTGAACCCAGCAGCAGAGGACACGGGGCTGTCTGACAGATCTCGGCTTCCTTCCGGCGCTTTCTGCAAGGATTAGCTGGTGGAAGGCTTAAGGCAGGAGACTTATGGAAGGGCCTGTTTGGGGATCTTGGCTGTTGTCTCCTGATTTCTTGGAAGTCAGATAACAGCTTAGTTTCAGTTTGGTGACGTGGAACTTTAGCTCAGGCAGGCGAGGCTGCTTTGCTTTGCCCTCTGGCAGCTGGGCCTGGTGCAGCAGCCCGTGGTAAATAGTGAAGCTAACTGACACCTCCGGTCCTGGGTAGGCGACTGGTGAATAGCCCAGCCAGGTGGCGGTAAGGGTTGAGGATGAGTGCTTTGTGGAGAGGTGCTGCAGATCTGGGCAAAGTCCAGAACGGCTTGATGACCAGGTGCTGGGCACTGGTCAGCACGGCACCCAGGAGGGCAAGGCCTGGATGACTAAGGCTTTCGTAGGCCAACATGGCTGAGAAAGGCTTACAACGGGTTTGGGAAGTGGAGGTGGCCAATGTAGCAGGGAGGAAAATAGAGACTGGGGATGGTAGGCGGGGTGCTGGGTAGGTAGTGTCCTCTAACCTGTGTCTTCTGTGGACCCTCAGAATATGCCATTGTTAGGAAACAGAGTCACTGCAGATGCAAAGAGTTGAGATGAGGTCACCAGGAGCAGGACAGGCCCTGATCAATGTAAGGCTACCTGCATGGACTCCATGCTCTCCAAACTGCCCGGAGGTGAATTTCTGTTGGGGTAGGGCTGGAGCAGCAAGGAAGATTGGAGAAAGGCCGGGGTGGCAGCCCATGCTGCAGACACACTGGCCCTAAGGAAAGGCTGAGCTACCCTAACCTTCTCAGGCTCCCCAAGGAGCCCAGCTGGGAGGAGAGCAGATCAGCTCCGTAGAGGGTGAATGCAGGGCTCTCCCAGCGGGTCTGCCTGGCTGCCCCTCCCCTTCCTTCCCGGTAACACCTTTCCTCCCTCCCCATCCCTGCTACCTCCTCTCCCCCGCCCCCCCCAGCCCTGCTCCCTCCACATTTACTCTTCCTCTACCCCCCTACTTACTTCTCCCTCTGTTCCTTCTCTCCACTCCCATCTCTCTTCCTCTTCCCTTTTCCCATCCCCCCTCCACTTCCTCTTCCCGTTCGTTCTCCCTCACACTCCTTTCCTTCCTTGCCCATTGCTCAGTTAGGAACACAGAGGTAACCTGGTGTCAGGTGTGAGTCCCCTGTGGCTCCTGTGACAAGTGAGCCAATGCAGAGCAGCTCACAGCAGTGTGATTTTATCATCTCGGGTCTAGGATGTGAAAGGCAGGGGCTGCGTACCCCCAGTAGGATCTGTTTCTGCCCTTCCTGGCTCTGGAGACTGCCTGCTTCCCTTGGCTCAAGTCCCCTTCCTTCTGTCCCTCTTCCCTCTGGCTTTCCTTCTGCTGCCCTCTCACTTCCAAGACTTTATATTTACA